CCTTCCCCCTGCTCCTCCTTCACCTTCACGGGCGCAGCGGCGCAGGGATGCTCGCCCCCGCCAAACACGGGTTTACGGTCCTCAGCATCCGAATCGGGGCTGTGGGGGTCCCGGCGCCCTGGGATGACCACCCCGCTGCTCTGCTCTGGGTCTGTGTCGTTGTCCTGTGTGCCCTCCACCAGCATCTCCCGGCGCATCCGTGACCTGCCGGGACACAAGCGCGGAGGGGTTAGTGACCATCAACCACCACGTCTTGAAAAAGCATCTCCAGCCAGAAAAATGTGACGACATCACTCACGATGTAAAACTCCACCTTCTTGGCCTTTAAAACACTTTTTTTGGGGGGGAAATCACTGCTGCTTGAACACAGGGACTGCGTTTTGCAACACCTTGGGCTGTTTCCAGCCAGTGTTTTCCACTACCTTTTTTTTTGTTGTTGTTGTTTAACACATAACATTTTTCAAAGGTTTATTTTAGGGTGGTTGTGTTTACTGAGAGCAGAAGGGGCTTTCCTGGAAGCACGCAAGGGGAAAGGCAGCGGGTTTAAAAACACTAGTCAATGTTTCACCAAAAAGGCCTATTTTTCAAGCTCTCCCACGCACTCCCCACGCGATGCCCTCATGTGAGAAACCTCAGCCGGGTCCCATAAATATTGACCATCTACTTTATGCTGCCCAGGGGGAGCTGGAGGCAGTCAGAGCCTCTCTGGATTCCACACAAGCACTTATATTATGTCTTTTTACACTGGTTCATATAGGGGAGGGGGCACAACCCATCACCTGGGCTGTTGACACAGACAGCAGGTTGCTCTCAGTGTGGGTCTCGGGACCATTCAGGAGCCACGCGTCTGTCCACAACAGTGCCACTCTCTGGGGCCGGGCTGCTGTGAGGATGGATCCTGTGCTCCAGGAGCCTCCGTACGGCTTTTCTCCACCCATTGTGGAGCTCCTGCTCAGTGGCAGGTGTTGAACTGCACCAGCGAGCAGGTGGACGTGAGCACGGTAACCTCTTTAGATGCTCAAGATGACTTGGTCAAGGCGGTTGACACCTCTTGACTACCCACTAGCCAGGACACATGCAGCGTTTTGGCTGCAATCCTGCATCTGGGGACCTCCGGTGACCACACGTGGGTCTGCACCTCCCCATCTAGGCAAGAGGGACTGGGAGGGCTGGAAGAGGAACAGTGACACCACCTTGGTGGCACGGCACCATGAGACGTCCAAAGTCTGGGAGTGCCCATACCTGTAGTTGTGGAACCAGTTGATGACGGTATTGGTCTTGAGGTTGAGCTGGAAGGAGAGCAGCTCGATGGTCTGCTGGGAGGGGTAGGGCTCCAGCTGGTAGGCTTTCTTCAGGGCTTCCTTCTCCTCCGGGGCTAGCACCACCCGCGGCTTCTTGATCTGGAGGAGGCTGAGGTCCTGCGGCTGCAGGCTGGGGCTGGCGCACTCGGAGCGGGCGCTGGGGGACTCGCTGTCCGAGCCGGCGCTCATCAGCCCGTACCGACGTTTCAGGTAGGCTGCAGGAGAGGAGACCCAGCTGCGTACCGCTCACCCCCCCAAACCTGGAGAGCCCCCGGCTTGGCCACCACCGTGGACCTGGGACAGGGTGGGGGGGCTGCATCGCCCTGACCCTCACCTTTCTTCTCCAGCTTCTTCATGTCGCGCAACTTCTCCACGTTGTGGGGGTCGTTGAGCCAGAGCTGCATGCGGACGAAGGGCTCCCTCCCCTTCAGGCTCAGCTTGTGCCATGGCTTGGGCCTGGAGAGGAGATCGGACACCGAGCCCTGCGTCAGGCCCAGGATGCTCTCCCCGAACAGCCGCTGGCCTGGCGGAGGAGAAGCAGAGGTGGTTAGAGCAGGGCAGAGCAGTGGGGTGGGCGCCGCAGTCCCCCCATGGGGTGGGTGCACCCCGTTTCCCAGCCAGCGTCCTCCCCAGCACGCCGGCATCCCCCCGAGCACCCGCAGAGCACCACGGGGCCGGGGAGGGGGTTGTCAGCAGCTACGGGAATGGGGGTGACGCATCCATGCAGCCTCACCAGCAGCTCCCGAAAACCCGGGCGGGGAGAAGGTCCGCACCTAAATTGTTGTCCGTCAAGACCTCCTTGACCTTCTTGGTGATGGAGTAGGTGTCCAGCTCAGGGGACATGGCCACGATCTCCTGGATGCCCACGGGTCCCTGGCTGTTGGTGTAGGTCTTCCCACCCAGTGCAGGCGTCGACCGGCTCTCGGGTTGCTGGTTTTCTTTGCTGCTCTCCAAGGCCAGGGTGAGGGGCTCCTGGCAGCCCTTCTCGTGCTCGGCAGGGCTGGGGGGCGGCGAGGGGGACGGCTGGGGCTCCGCCGGGCTGGCTGCACGACACCGGGGGAGAGGGGTCAGCGGGGACACGGCGGCAGCGGTAAGGTTATTTCGGGGATGCCCGCGGCTCTGCCCTGCGGAGAGGGGGGATGCCAGCCGAGTTTTTCCGGCGGCTATGGCAAAGTGGGAGGAGCCGGTGGAACAGTAGAGAGAAAGCACCACTAATTTAAAAAAAAAACCAACCCAAACGGTTACTTCTTTATGCCAGGCACAAAGCCAAGGGTTTTTGTTGCGGTTTCCCTTTGCTTGTTTTTTAAACTAGACGGCTTTCAGAACCTGTTTCTACAAAATACCATTTGAGGATCTAACAGCCCTAAATTGCCTACGCGGCTAATTAAGGGGGGTTCAAAATGAGTTGGATGCACTAGAGGAGAGGGGGAGGAAAGGGGCTCCCCAGGATCGGGGCGCGGGTGGGGGTGGCAGGTCTCCCCGGCGCTGGGGTGGGGGTAGGATGTGGGGGACGGATGAGGAGCCCCAGGGACATGGGGACCGCGGGGACAGCGGTGGCCCTTACC